TCCCAGCCTTTCTCGTTTTTCCATATCGCTGCTTCTCCGTTCTTTCTTCTACCCCGCTTCTCCTAGTGATGAGAAAAGCTGCGAATTTGAAGCGGGGTTGAGGATTGAACGCTGTTCTGCTCCATGTATCCGGATAGATGGGCTGTCATGCGCTCGTCCATCATCTCTGCCATTTTTGTTCAGGCCTACTTCATGTGTTCTAGAGACTTGTCTATTTCAACTTCAATACAGATGCGAGACTACGCAGCGACATGCTAGTACAGGTGAAGTAGGTCTGAACAAAAATAGCACGATGAGTTCAATTCTCAACCCCGCTTCAAATTCACAGCTTTTCCCATCACTAGGAGAAGCGGGGTAGAAGAAAGAACGGAGAAGCAACGATATGGAAAAACGAGAAAGGCTGGGAACACCCAAAATCATCAAAAACAAGAGACAAGTCCCAACTCATGCAATTTCAGGATTTCTCCTACTCTTATTCGTGGCAGATGGCTATGGAAACTAAGCAGTCGCTTCCTGGAACAAATGAAGTAGTTTTGAGCTAAAATCACGAAGAGAGAATGGACGAGCGCATGACAGCCCGTCTATCCGGATACATGGAGCAGAACAGCGTTCAATCCTCAACCCCGCTTCAAATTCACAGCTTTTCCCATCACTAGGAGAAGCGGGGTAGAAGAAAGAACGGAGAAGCAACGATATGGAAAAACGAGAAAGGCTGGGAACACCCAAAATCATCAAAAACAAGAGACAAGTCCCAACTCATGCAATTTCAGGATTTCTCCTACTCTTATTCGTGGCAGATGGCTATGGAAACTAAGCAGTCGCTTCCTGGAACAAATGAAGTAGTTTTGAGCTAAAATCACGAAGAGAGAATGGACGAGCGCATGACAGCCCGTCTATCCGGATACATGGAGCAGAACAGCGTTCAATCCTCAACCCCGCTTCAAATTCGCAGCTTTTCTCATCACTAGGAGAAGCGGGGTAGAAGAAAGAACGGAGAAGCAGCGACATGGAAAAACGAGAAAGGCTGGGAACACCCAAAATCATCAAAAACAAGAGACAAGTACCAACTCATGCAATTTCAGGATTTCTCCTACTCCCATTCGTGGCAGATGGCTATGGAAACTGGGCAGCCGCTTCCTGGAACAAATGAAGTAATTTTGAGCAAAAAACACGAAGACAGAATGAACAATCGCACGATAGCCCATCTTTCCGAATACACGGCGCAGAAGAGCGCTCATTCTTCAACCCCGCTTCGAGTTCGAAATTTTGCTGATCAAAAAGGGAAGCGGGGTGGAGGAATAAGGCCAAAATGAGCGAAATCTGGAAGAAAAACCGTTGAGAACGGTCAAAATTCTCCAACTCCCGCCGTTCAGAACGGTGGGCGGCTGCAGCGCATGCAGCACAGTTCTGGAACTGTTCCCGCACAGTTCCCGCACAGTGCGAGAACTGTGCGGAAACAGTTCCAGAACATGGGAATTAGTATGAACCCAGCCTTTAGTGGCTTTGGTGCTTTTGAGCTTAGCCGGCATGACGACAGACGATGATGCTCAACCACTCGATGTGAGAGTAGAATGAATGAATGTAAAGTACAGTCTGCCCCAATCCTGACCAGGCCAAAATTGGCTTGGCGGGAGTCCGCGCCGCACCGGTTTCGCGCCACTTCTGCGGCTAGCTAGTCTGCTCCCTCCTCAATCTCATCGCTCTCTGCGACATGCAGCGCAGACCCCTAGCGCTGCGAGCGCGCAAATTCAGCCGCGGTTCGGCCTGATCCCGTTTGGGGCAGACTGTAATGTAAGAAACGTACATGTTCATGATATCAACATTTAACTAAAACTCTGGAAAGCTTACGTACTTCCTGTATTAGAATACTGTAGTCCAGTTTGAAATCCTGACGTCAAAAATCTGATCTAAAAACTGGAAAAAGTTCAACGTACATTCACTAAAATCTTATTCTACCGAATATTCCCAAATCCTGAGTACCCTAGGGCTCTTCCTGATTATAAAACTAGATTAACCATACTAGGGCTCAGAAGTTTATATCACAGAAAATTATAGCTGACATATTACTAGCTTACAAGATTTTTAAATCTGAGACTCGTTTAAGATTTTCGGAATTCTAATTATAGTAGGATATATCGACTATAAAGAAAATATGTAAGAAAAAACAATATATAGGTAAAAACAGTGCCTTGTATGATGTGCTAGTTTCGCAGACCAATCGGGTGACTGTAACCAGCCAACGGTATCTTTCTGCCAGTTATTCCAGTTTGTTCAAATATGCTTCACTTTCAAAAACAGATGAGGTGGTAGTGACTATAAGATACCGATTGAACTTGTCCAACTCTCTGCCTGGACTAAACAAACTTTTGAAAGTGGCACAAGCGTCTCTAATGGCTGAAGACCAACTTTGTCATTGTTTGCTTCTTCCAACAACCTCAGTGTTGATATCTCAGAATAGACATGCAGCACAAAGTGATTGATTCTGGCAACTTTGCGTTGCTCTACAATCTTTCTTAGTCATCCCTTTGACTAAATCACTTCAGAGTTGCTTTGTAAAGATATCCAAGCGTGAAAAACAAAGCGCACATTCCATGCAACTTTCAGAAGTGTGTAATTGTAGGCACCACAAAGCATAACTGATATGACAGATGATACGATAGGTATACATATGATTAGTCTAGCAACAGTAAACCTCGCAGGACCTCCCGTCATGATTGATGTAAGATATTATCTGTACATATTTGGTATGTAACCCTATACTTATTACTTTCCTGCATTTTTACACTATTACATTATCATTCCATTCCCATATGATTTGTTTACAGATGGCACGACGCCGATGCTCGCCAGACGCCACCAGACAGAGAGGGAGGAGCAATTTCAAGACAGTGAGGATCGTACCACGACAGAGTCACCTCGTCTTCCGGCCTTGTTCTTATTTGTTCTAATAATGTTGTTCTTCCCCGGTTATTAATGTTGATCTTGTTTTGGTGCTATAAGGATGAGCGTGTGTGTTAGAAGATGTTTTTGGACATGTCCGAGGTTTAGTTATTATCTGATATGGTATCGATCATTGAAGAGGATGATGATATCCATAAAGTGGTAGCAGCGAGTGCGGCCTCATAGTAGCCCGCGATTCCACCGACCTTCCTCTTTTTAGAAAACAAAATCCTTATGGGAATAGCCCAAGAGTTGACCGGTTTTAGCCTCGACCGGGCTTTGACTAGAAAGTTCAGTAGCGTGAGCTCTAGAAGATGGCCACTTCCTAGGCTCATAATCTCTCTCAATTTTCCCTTCAAATTACCTGTTTTTAGTGGTTTTTGCGATTTGTTTCGGTGGGATAGTTCGCTGATTTTGGGTAAGAAACATAAGAAACCGTTGATCAAATTTCCTCACTCATTCCCTCGTCACCTATATGGGACCAGGACAGAAAAAGCATTTTAAATGGTCTAAAATATGAGAGAAAAGTATGATTTGCATGAACTGTGAAACCGCAAAAGAATATGTAGTTGTTGTGATCCTTTTCCATACATCAACGCTGTGATAGGAGACACATAGCATCACTTTATCGTCCAAAATCCCCGTCTTTTTATAGCTATGATGGGCCTCCCCAGCCCCCGTTTCCAAGACGCAGAAGAGCCAAGAGAGCCCCCATATGTGACGGATACAGCGCATCTCACTTTGCAAGAAGGATACCGAGGGAGGAGGAGCTTTGAACCCTCCTTGGACTAGCGACAGACAGACTCGATCGCCTTGAGCGTCACGGAACAATTTGATGTTTTGGTAACAGAGCTCAAAGCATCGCATAGCAGCTGTGTAACAGCACATGTCAACAGACGTGGTGGCAAAGAACGTAAGTGAAAATCTCTATCAGGATTAGATGAAAGGATTAAGTCAAAATCCCTATCAAAATCAGATAAGCTACATTGACAGAATACCAAAGGCAGATCACAGACTGTAAAAGGATGTCGAGCGTTCAAGAAACGATCCGGACAATAAATCACGTCCAGAGTTGCTCAGCGCCTAAGTTTACAATTGACAAACAGAGAGATAAGATAGTGATAGATCACAGATAGCTAAAAGATGATTGTAACAACTACTGAAAAGTTTTATTTGGTTGTCTGAGCTTTCGGGTCAGGGAGGATCGTTATCGAGGTGCTACCGAAGTCATTGATAACACATTTGCTAGAAATGACAAACAAGCCACTACACAGAACAAGACATTGAGGTACTAACCTACCATCGTATACGTACTGTAAGTATAATAAAAAAAGCTTTAAAAGCATAACATCTCATTTTTGTAATTAGCATGCCAAATAACCCCTGTGGACAAGATTTAGCAAATTCTGTGGTTTCCAAATATTGGGTCACCCTAGTGAAATGGTCATTTTCGAACATGTCGGCTATGTTTCAGAGGTAAGTAGGCTACTTCTTTTTTGCACATAACAAAAAATACTACTACTTCTTTGCTCACAGCAAAAATCCCACTTCAAATAACCGCGATATCATGTAATCTTGATTAAGCCAAAATCTTCTTTGTCCCATTTTCGCTTTCGATGTTTCAAACTAGAGGAAACCAACCAGTCTCAAAGCGCTCCTGTGAGAACTATAAAGTTCAGCCTATGAAACTAAATTTTTGCTGCCTTCCCTCGTAATCTAGTGGTAGCGCAGTCTAAGCATGCTACCGTAAATCAACAGGTTGCATCTGCATAAGGTATGAGAAACGACTATATCTCTCCCTACAAGAAATGATTTTAAACAGAATTGCTATAGTATAGAAGATTTAATGGTGACAATGATATGAAAAGCTATGATCTTTGAATGCTTTACAGGTAAAAAAAATTGCGTACAATCATGTACATTTCAACGGCCCGAATCTCGTAGATTTAACAAGAGTAGTTTGAGCCTGATTCATTTTCTTTACTCTGTGTGATAGTTGCTGAAAGCAGAACCACTGAAAACAAAAAATGAGACAAGTGAGATTTTGGCTGGCTCCTAATTTTACAGTTTGGCGACAATTTAAAGTGTTATTTCTTACATGGGCAAAAAGGAGTAGCCTTTAGAGTTCGCTATTGGCCCACAGGGGTTAACCGACATGCTAAATACTGATTTATTACTAATACTTGACATGACCTCAATATTGAGTTTACGGTAGGCAAACGGTTGTTAGGGGTAGGGGTGGGAGTCGTCTCCGGCGGCTGTGTGCCACACCTCTTGCTCGAAGCTGAGGATCAGTCAAAAGGAGGCAGTCCGAACTCTTCCGGCTTGAATTCCTCAAGGCTCGTAAGGACTTTGCTTACACTGATAAAATCGACAGATAAGAAGGCTGACAGGAAGGGTCAAGATTGTTCAATGTACATACTTTAGCAACTGCACCTGCGAGCGAAGTGCAGGATCTGGCACAGCAACGCACTGCATACCGGCAGCTATAGTCGCTTGAACTCCATTAGGTGAATCCTCGATGACAAGCACATGGGATGGATCAGCTGGGGCATTGCAAAATCTGAAAAGAGCGATGAAGGTGTCAAGCTTTTGAGTCTGGATGGTATAAAAGTGCGCAAGTTCATATGAAGATATCGGCAAGTATCTGAGCCGAAGGGTCAGTACGGCCATATTTGGTCGCCAATACCAATTCCCTCGGGAACCAATCACACAATCATGTTTAGACAAAATGCTTATGGCATTTTAGCTCCACATGGCACCGAAAACAAAATTCCCAAAGTCTTTCACAGAGGTAGAGAAGCAGTCTTCAAAAAGCGGGTGCGAACTGAGTGGAAGTGAAAGTCAAAACGCCCTCATGCATTCCACGATGACATGCAGGAAATATTCATTATTTCCTGTCTTTCCTGAGTCTAGTGTCATTTCATATTGAGAAAGGTTCTATCACCCAAAAAGACAACGGAAACTGAGTGTCTAAATGTGTTTTTTCAAGGGGGTGATGGATTTATAATTACTCTTTGAAAAAGCAAAAGTGAGACTTACTTCCGCATTGTCATGAGAAATCCATCTGGATAGGGTTTACCTCGTTTGATTTCCTTCTCATCTGCGCAGAGCACCTGAGCAGAGTTACATTTATGTCATGCACAGTGTTCACGGTGTCCTGAGTTGTGAAAACGACTAATTAAATACCCGATTAACTCATGTGACATTCAAACGGCACGTTAGAGCTATAGGCCGTCCGCGCAGGGCGCGGAAAGTGCACAGGGTGTGTAGTGGTCACTCGTCTTTCCTCGTGCACTCTTGCCGCTATTTTTCTCTACGCCTCTTTCACTCACATTCTTGACGGACACAACAGCATTGCTTTCCAAGCGCAGTGCAGACAGCCTATACTGCCGAACATTCAAAAAAACAAAAAACGGCCGGACCCCCGAACTGAGTTGTTCGACCAGGCCGGCACATATATCGGACCAATTCCTTTGGCCAATTTTTAGACATGCTTTAATGCTCGGAGAACAATCGCGTCTTTTTCATGATTGATTGCGGCGCAGTGGTCGCTCTCGCGGACTTTCTGCGGAATATGCAAAATTAGTGAGGGCAGCACGGTCCTTTGTAAAGGACCGCACAACCCGTAAGTAGTTTCCACCGCGAGATATATGGGTAATTAAACCATCGATGACACCTCTACCATATGGAGTCTCATCTTTGCTCGACGACGCCCGAAACTGCGTAAAAAGAGTCCGAGCGCCTGCTACAGGTTTGGGCAGCGCTCGCTAAAACAGTTTATTTGACGAGCGCTTGGAAAAGGTTCTGTATTGCTGCCCGATGGCAGAGCATGCAAAAGTAAAGGAGGTACTGCTCGCTGAAAGTTTGGTGACGCTCCAAAATTCTGCTGACCGCTGTAAGAAAGCGCAGTTTGCGGTCCGCCTGTCCCGGCGATTATCTAAGCTGAGAGCTGCCGCACATGTCCGGGCGTACGGCCGCTCGTGCGGTGAAGGAAGATAGTTTAACTTCAGACGGCCGCCAGGACAACCAAGGGTCCCGAAGCGAACGCTTGAAGCGCAAGTGCTGTGCGTTCAATTTGCAAACGAACTCTACCATTTGTTGAGCTTCTCTTTAGAATGTTTCTTATTGCTGTTATCTTCTATGCGATTCTTCTTGTTGTTTAATTGCAAACACTCGTTGACTGTTTAGAATGTTTCCACTCATACAACATTCCATACTCTCGCTAGCATCTAAGGGTTCCTTCATACTACGCAGCGTACGCCGCGTACGCCGCTGCAGCGCAATGGAAATATGCTCACGGCAGCGGAGCTCCACTTTTTTTGATGTGTCTCTATATTTGCTGCACATTCGTGTCCCTCAATAATGTTCCTTCACATTATGCATTTCTTCCTCTCTTTTGCTTCGTTTATCCTGTCTATCCTTTGCCTATATTAATGATTGATGGAATGACTTAGGTTGTTGTGCTCCCTCTCCTTCTATATGCTCCCCCCCCCTCCAAGCCAAAACCCCGTATCTCGGTGAGGGAATCCTTTCACTATCTGAATTCTTTTTTACCTTTTAGAGCGTACTTGATATAACCTGGGCTGTCGCAAAATGATCTGCTGAAGCAGCTCTTCTTGAGCTTCAACTTTACACAAAAAATCCTTCCGTCTTCAACTCGTTGCTGTTGCTCTCCTTCCCTACAGCAGATCCTTTTGCGGCAGCCCTAGTCATATCAAGTAAACGTTCCTTTACAAGATGTTGGAAAAAGTAGATCACGAGAGACCTTCCCTCTGAGACAAAATCGATTTTCTCGCTATAACTCTTGTGTAAATAAACGAAAATAAACAAGAAGCTGGATTTGAAATCTACTTTTTGAGAGCTTTCGAATCTTATATATAAAGCTGAATGTCTGTTTGTCTGTCTGTCTGACTGTCTGTATGTCTGTCTGTCTGTATGTCTGTACGTATGTTCCGAATAGAAAATTCCATTTCTGAACCGATCCGGACCAAACTTGGCACACATACACTACGGGCCCCGGCGGGTGTCATAGGCTACTTTTCGTCATCGATCGATATCGATTTTATCGATTTTTATCGATTTTTTGCTGAGTTCACCTACGGGGCTGGGAGTTGGCACAGGGGGGTAATCGAGCATGGGGATTCCGAATACAATATTGGTTTTCAGGATTATCGATTACTTTTATCGATTTTATCGATTTTTTTGCAAAGTTTGAGCTACGGGGCTGGGAGTTGGCACAGGGGGGTAATCGAGCATGGGGATTCCGAATACAATATTGGTTTTCAGGATTATCGATTACTTTTATCGATTTTATCGATTTTTTCGCAAAGTTTGAGCTACGGGGCTGGAAGTTCGCACCGGGGGGTAATCGAGCATGGGGATTCCGAATACAATATTGGTTTTCGGGATTATCGATTACTTTTATCGATTTTATCGATTTTTTTGCAAAGTTTGAGCTAGGGGGCTGGGAGTTGGCGGAGGGGGGTAATCGAGCATGCTGATCACCCCCAAGGGGGGTGATCAGCATGTTCGATTACACCCCTGTGCCAAATTCCAGCCCCCTAGCTCAAATTTTCAAAAAATCGATAAAATCGATAAAAGTAATGGACGATCTTGAAAACTAATATTGTATTCGTAATCTGCATGCTCGATTACCCCCCTGCAAACTCCCAGCCCCGCAGGTCAAACTTTACAAAAAAAATCGATAAAATCGATAAAAGTAATGGATGATCCTGAAAACTAATATTGTGTTCGTAATCTGCATGCTCGATTACCCCCCTGTGCAAACTCCCAGCCCCGCAGGTCAAACTTTACAAAAAAAATCGATAAAATCGATAAAAGTAATGGACGATCCTGAAAACTAATATTGTGTTCGTAATCCCCATGCTCACTTCCCCCCTGTGCCAACTCCTAGCCCTGTAGGTGAACTCTGCAAAAAAATCGATAAAAATCGGTAAAATCGACATCGATCGATAACGAAAAGTGGACTGTGACACCCGCCGGGGCCCGAAGTGTATGTGTGCCAAGTTTGGTCCGGATACGGCGGAGCCGGGTAAGCCAGCTAGTGGTATATAATACGTGGGGGTTCCTTGTTATTTTTGCCCTGCGACGGTGGCTGAGACGCTCCAGTTATGCGATCTCAGGTCTATCCCCCCCCCCCCCGCCGTCCATATGCATTAAAGTGGGCGGACTGAGAAGCCATAACTAGAGCGTCCCAACCACCGTCGCAGAGCAAAAAAAACAAGGAACCCCTTCTATGCGATTCTTCTTGTTGTTTGATTGCAAACACTTGTTGAATGTTTAGAATGTTTCCACTTGTACAACATTCCTTACTCTCGCTAGCATCTAAGGGTTCCTTCATACTACGCAAGTACGCCGCGTACGCCGCTGCAGTGCAATGGAAATATGCTCACGGCAGCAGATCCACTTTTTTTATATATTTATATTTGCTGCACATTCGTGTCCCTCAATAGTGTTCCTTCACATTATGCATTTCTTCCCCTCTTTTGCTCTGTTTATCCTGTCTATCCTTTGTCTATATTAATGATGGATGGAATGACTTAGGTTGTTGTGCTCCCTCTACTTTTGAGTTCCACATTTTGCATCGTAACTGACTGCACATTGCGTCATCTGGTTGTATATTGGTAGTTATGGTTGTATGGTTGTATGTTGTATCTGGTTGTATATTTGCGCTGTCAACATCTCCTTACAAACACATCACTGGATGAAAAGGATTTCTCTTCTTCATACTGTTAGACTGCATTGCAAATTTGATGCGCCGTTGTTGCCCCAGTTTGTTTTCTTCGCTCAAAAACATCATTTAAGTTTTGGCGCTGACTTCAGCTACATTATACAGTCAATGCGGCAAAAAAAAGACTCGGTGGTTTTACTTTCTCTTGGGGTATTAATCTCACTTCATATCTGTCGTTCTCTTGGAAGAAACCTCACTGCTCACTGAAAGTCAGTGAACATGTGAACTCTTTGACTGCCAGTATCGCCATTTTACTCGTGAGAGTATGTAAAAAAGGAGAGTAAAGGAGAGGAAATGTCTACAACCTGCACTCACTCCGCATTCACAATGTTAACGTATCTGGGGTCAAAACTGTACAGAAATAGGTGATAAAATGACGCTTGTAATAATAAGCAATTATAGAGATACATCAAAGAAAGTGAAGCTCTGCTGCCGTGAGCATATTTCCATTGCGCTGCAGCGGCGTGCGCGGCGTACGCGGCGTAGTATGAAGGAACCCTGAGGCATTTTGCAAAATAGCTTATTTCATTTCATTTTGAAGGTTCACGTATTTGTAGGAAGGCATAAGCTACATTATGGGTCTCGGCACGAAACCCATCAGCATTGCTATACAGCAGGACACCGCTGATATACAATATCTTTTTGTTAATGATATATGTTTGCTTCTTCTCATCTCCCTTGCTATCATCTTCCAGTCATTCATCACAAGTCTTTTACGTGAATTCATTTGTATTACCTATGATTCCATGATTCCGTTTTAGTCCACCAATCGTTTAGTTTTGACATTTAAACTCTTCTCTCCAAATAATGCTGGACGTTTGGACGATTAACATCTCACGCACTATACCGAAGATACTTGGTCTTAAAAGGACGCTGTTGACTTTCGTCAGCTTCGCAGTTCAAATTCTGTTTTTTGTTTTCTGCACAAGACTTTGACAGAACCAACATACACGATGAGAGTAATCATCTCGACAGCTCTATCGTAAAATGCCCATGATTAGATCAATAAAATTGACGACGCTTGCTATGGACTCTTGGGCGATTTGTCCAGTAATTTCATGTCATCATGTGTCATGTCAGTGCACATGTCTCTGTCGTCTTTGGATTTTTAGCCATAGGGACTTTCCGAGTGTTTTTTCTATTTTTTTAAAATGTTTCTGTCCATCCCAGGCCCGAACTTTCTCAGAATGAGTGGCTGACAGCTTCCACTTCACACGAGTGGCACCATCCACAATGAACAGACTCGCCTGTTACAAGCCAGCTTCTCGTAGATCAAGGTCATACGCACTCCTACCTTCAAAAAATTTCCTACGCATTACTTCCTTGAGAACAGATTGAGAATGTCGTACCATGCCAATTTTT